CTTACGACTGTTTTGTTTGTGGATTGTCCAACAAAACTATTCCGATGAGAAGAAGCTTTTGTGTGAGCATGATCTTACACTCGAGAGATCCGCAACCACCCGATATACAAAGTCATCTCTGAAAGTCAAAAACTGGAAGTCAACCAATCAATCCAAAACTGCCAAAGATGCGGGAAGTCGAATCATCCTCGACGAAATTGCAAATTCTACAATGCCGCAGCCAAAAGCTTAACACAGTCTCAACACTCACTAGTGGACGACCATCACCAGGAAAGAGAGGAAGTGAACGATATTGATCAACCTTGTCAGCACATTTGTGCGAAAACGGAGTAAACCTTCGTTGGCACGGGTGGTCTAGTGGTTAAGCTGCTGGCCTCTCACCACTTTGGTCCGGGTTCCATTCCCGGGCACCACAGGTAATTTGATTTTGTTTGATGTATTGTTCTCTCACTTGCCACGAGGGTTTTCTCCGGGTTGTCAGGTTTTCCTCCTCAGAAAAATCAACATGTGAGGATTGTTGTGTGCTTAAATACTTAATGTAGAGGTAGTTAGTGTGAGAGTATAGGGTCCGAAGAATTGGCTCACGCTGTTGCGGTGTCCCTGCCCATACTAGGGGCAAAGCTAATAAAAATTTAAAAATTTAAAGTATAAACCACCCCATAATGATTAAGGTCTGCCTAGAAGGGAAGCGCATTCACATGGATCTAGACACAGGTTCATCAGTGTCTGTCCTTCTGACAGCATTCTCTGCCTACAAAATAAACAGACCACACCTGAAGATTCAAGATACTAACATCAAAATCCGAACATATGGGAATGAGAGAATCACTCTAAAAGGGACTGTAAAACTCACAGTGATCGGTCCAAAGTTTCCCATCTTCGAGCGCTCGTGGCTGCAATTGTTCGGACTAGATTGGCCCTCGATTAMGCTTCTCAGGCAAGCATCTACAGACGACAGGGTTGATCACCTAATTGACCTTTACAGCGACGTTTTCAGTGATGAACTTGGCTCTTTCAARGGGCCCCSAGCCAAGCTGCACGTGCGCGAGGGTGCAATACCAGTGCAATCTGGTCTGTATGTTTTGCGGTCCGCCAGAACGTCGAAGCCGAATTGGGAGAGCTCGAGAGACAGAGAATCTCCCCCGTTACGCACAGTGAATGGGCAGCAACGGTCGTCCAAATCCTATTCACAAATTCCCCTTAAACGAAGAGTCCAGAAAGTACACCACTCTAACAACACATAAAGGGCCCTACACGTACGCCTGCCTTTTKGTGTGTGTCTTTTGAAGCAGCCATGTTTCATATTTGTGGATCAAGTCTGTTCTTTGATATCRACTTGATATAATTGGTCACTGGACGTAACCAGGACGATCACCAGAAAAGCCTGGAACAAGTGTTGAATCGCCTGCAGCAGTGCGCCCTAACAGTCCAACAAGCTAAGTGCGGCTTCCTTCAGCCTTTCCTCAAATACTTACTCTTTCCATAATCAGTGGTGTTCAAATGTATCATATCTATCTCCACGGTAGAAATTTCAAACTTCAAACTGACCACAAACTGCTTATGACCATCCTTGGCCCTAAGAAAGGAATGCCTCCGATTGCAG